TTTTTTACAGTAAAATAATTAACTTGTTAGAATGTTATAATGTAAATTGAATACATTTTAACATTATTTATTACTCTCCGATTTGACTAGTAATAATATCCTCCATATCTCTGGTATTTGCGTTGAGTCACTTATATTGCTCATGTGTTGGGTGTAGACACGATGAACAAGTATTCAGTAATCAACCTCTCTCTCCACCTATATATATTACTTTTTAGCATTTTGACTCTGTCCCACCCTATGGTGTGGTTGTGTGTTTATGCATGCAGTGCTGTAGGTATTACTTATCTTCTTGGGATCATTCATTTTAACCTTAGCTAAATTCTCATGTTCTGACAATCTGACTACTCCTGATCTACTAGTTTGACCTATATAGTTGATTTAACTCACAGCAATTGCAAGGTAGTTTGTAAGTGATATTATTTCGTTTAATTGGGTCCACCGGGTCCTTTGGCCTATAGAGCTTATCTTTGAGTGATTGTGCAGGGTTTGAATGCCACACTAAATCCTGTTTTATTGAGGATCCTACGTACGGCCTCAGATGCCCCTACTTGTATGGTAAAACTGTAGACGATTTACATTCTTTCTTTTTTTATGGTATCGTTATTAGTGTCACCATTGTTTCTATTTTGCTTTTGACCTTTTTTGATATTTCTAATGAATTCCTAATAGTAAGATAGTGATTTAACAGCAACGCCTCTTCTATCTCTTTCGTTTCATCTTTTGGATTTTGTTGTACCACTTAGTGCTATTGCCTTTATATACAAACGAGTATGAGATGGGGGAAAGCGAGGAACACTGAGGAACTTAGTCTACTGTCATTTAAATTTATTCGACTGTTGAAACGAAGTGAAAACTTCTTCACTTCCGAAAAGTATCTCTTCAGTAGATTAACAATGAATACGATTTGTAGCTTTGATTGAAGAAGAAAACCATCGAAGGTAACTGTTTGCGGGATTCATATTTCATAGTGAAAGTGACAAAATTAGCGATAACTTGAATGTCGTGTTTGAATATTAAACTGCACCGTGTCTGTCATTACAAATGATGTCATGAAGATGAATATTTGAGGCATACAGTATTTAGTACTTATCGACATGGGTATTTGAATTGTAGACGGTAATACTTGATATACGCAATTCAGTTGGCTGGTTTTTTAAGCATAAATTCATGATCGATGTCGTCGTATTGAGCAATTTTGGGCGTCTGAGTTACTGAAACCATTTGTAGACTGTGTTTTTGCACCCACGGGAACGATTCATCTCCACTGACATTTGAATAACCCAGAAAATATGAATAAACTAAATTGAAGAAACATTAAGTAATTCAGAATATGGGATAACGATTTCATGATGATTTATGCCACTCCTAGTGGGAAAATGTGACCAGTAGGCTGCAGCAGGTCGGGCGTGAGGAAAAATACTAGTCGAAGACATTGACTAGTTGTCGCGTTATGTCGTGAATGGGCAGAAGTTGGAATACATGGACAGTCCATTGAGTCGGGTCCCAATGGCTTATTGGTCTATGAGATAGCCCGCCTTGTAACCAGAAGGCTCTGGGTTCAAACTCTGGCGGTGGGTGAGTACTGATGAAGACTCACACACTAGGACGGAGGAAACAGCTATCCAGTACTCCCTGAAGGTTTTCCAATGGTTCTCTAACCGATGTCAGCTCATGATGAAATCCTGTAACCAGTCAATCAATCACATCTCTACAAACCAATAGTTGAACTACACCTCTTCAAATTATGAGCATGAAGTTTCATCATCCATGAACACTAACAGAACGACACTATTTCAAGCAGATGTATCCACTCGATTATTTAGACAAAATATATCAGGAGGTAGTCACATTTTACACTATAAGAGATTTACCTTCTCTAAAGAATGGAAAGAGATACACTCATCCAGACATTCTTCTCACCTTTTACAGATGAAATACCGCCTTCTCATCTACATACTCTCCTCTTCACAAATAGTCCTTTCTCTTTCCCTATCATATCAACAATCTTTAAAATTGATTATTTACCAATAGACTTTACCATTTATGTCTCAAGTGAAAATTTTGTTTGATACTCTAACTACTCATAGTCATTAAAGTAGTTAGCAATTTGAATTGTAAAATAAACTATCAACTGTCGAGTCGTAGGACAGTACTAGTTTCGGTTTTATTTTCGCTATTTTCGCAATTCATGGAATTGTTCAGACAAACTGCGTCTTCTTATTGCTTCTTCTAAATTCATAAAGGGAACTAACTGCCTTAAATTCTGGCATTCCTTAGAACGGGGGGGGGGCATATTTGCAGCCATGATGAGAAACATGCCTCATCCGAGATTTGAACGAATGTGTAGACGATAACAGCTTTACCATTAAATTGTGTAAATATATATGTATGTATGCATGCATGTATGTATGTATGAAAACGCTGGTTGAGTCAGAGCGAAGCAATACAGGTAGCGAGCATGAAGTCTTCTTTACTACGGAATATCTGTCCTGTTGAATGAATAATCACGAATGTAATGAAAGCCTCATAATCTATGAAGTCTTATCAAATCAATTCTCCTTCAAACATCCTGTCTACACAAAAGTGGAGAGTGTAGAAGGTGAATTGTGACAGATTTCACTCCAAATAAGTTGTATTTTGTATAGAAATTATAACAGTGAACAAATTAACAAATTGACATACACTGAGCTGAACAACAGCTTGTGTAAATAACATCTGAATCCTTCCAATGAATTTCAGAGTCTTCTTTTCAATCTCGTTTACCTCACCACTTCTTTTGTGTTTTTCTCTCATATTTCTTTTTTGTTCCCTCAAGATCAAACTGGTTCCCGATCACATCACACTCACTGTAAACTACATGAATGCATCTTTACAACCAGCATATTAGCGAATCCTTCCATCGGGACGCACAAATTCCATTTTTCTCATTTGTTTTTCTAACTTATTGTAACAGTTCGTCCATGAATCAACATTATTTAGGTTCGATTAATGGAGATTCCAATACTCTGTCATTCAGAATGTATTCAAGTGACATCGCTTGCTCTTCAGGTGAGACAACTTTTGTGATCACCTCTGCGATTTCTGTAATCAGAAACATTGTATAAAGACGTGTGGGGAAGAAAACACACTTATCCAAGGATGCCTGTCAGTTTGTTTTCAAATTAAGTAACCTGAATACCAGTGAAAAATACATGGCATTCCTTGATGTCATATTCCCTTTTACCAACACCCCTACTGTAGAAATCATGTATTACATATTCGATAAAATTTTAGAGAGTAGAGTACACACCGTTATTCTAGTTGCTAATCTACAGAATCTACCGTTCAAAAACTCTATGAATATTCATCTCTTGTTTAATAATGAACTATGCAGAGATGTCGGTGGAGTACCGTTGAAATTTCCGCTGGGTGGTACATTTGCAGATACATTTCTAGCAAAACTAAAATAGTGAAAGTGAAATTATAGTATTGTCGGGTGAGTAATGCTTTTGTAGTCAGGATTAAATATCCACGTAATGATTAGAATCAGTTCATGTGGATAGTATTCATCCAGCCGTCCATTTGACCTATGAAGTTTAATAAAATGAAACTTAGAACGCTCACCATATTTCACTGATAAGAAGAGAAATCATGGATCCATCTGAAGTGGCATCTGTATAATGTTGGAGACCAAAGCTCAGTAAACAGATTTTCTAAGCCACGTAACGATTAAATACAAGCATGAATTGATCAGATGTGAAGCATTTTAGTCAAGTCAATATTCTCCAGTGAATGTGTGTAGAAGTAACTCCTCATCATCTTGCATAGTTTGGGTGAAAAGAGGATATTCAGATAAGTCCACTCAATATATACAACTTGTAGTGTTTCAAAATACGATGCGAATGTCTTCATTTTTGCATCTCCAGTTTTTGAGAGAAATGAGCAGGAAGATTCTTTATCAGCGTCGAAGAGCGCGATGAAGCGCCATTCAAGTTGGGCTGTTTCTATCTGCCGTTTAGTAACAGTTCAACTTTTCCCAAGGACCAATTTCCTAAAGCTCGATCATCCTAATGCATGCACTAGTATCACTGTTCCCGTGGTTAAGTCATAATTAACGTCCCATAAAGGAGTTTCGTCTCCACATACATCAATATTTGCCAGCCTAATGCAGAAACGAAGACATTAAATTATTAGAACATTTGATTCTGCGATAACTAGTAAGCTGGGTTCGTTTCTCTCCTCCTGTTAATAACGTCATTCACATACTGTTAGAATGGCCACTTCAAATGGTCCAGAAGTTCTTCCTCAGCATAGAATCTCTTTGCAATATTCTTCTCTTCTCAATGACACACGATCTCAAAGAGTCAATCTGATTGACAGCATGATGCCTAAGTGTTCTTGCATTTGGTTGCACTCTGAAACGACGTAACGATTTCTAGTAAGTTTTGAGTTAACGGACAGTTTCAATACGTTCATGGATAAAACCTACAGATATCGTTGCCTCACTGAGCCTTGTGCTATACTTCACATGCTCACTGAGGATCTCCAAAGCGAAAGGGTTCTCAGATGATTTCAGTGATTTCCAAATATCCATTCATACATTTAGAAAAAAACAGACTGAGCAAAGAAATATGTTCCTTTTCAATTATTTCCTCATCATCGACTCTACACTAATATACACTTACTTACATGAAAATTTTACCAATCAAGTAGTTATTTTAGTTAATCAGCGTTAGGTATACGGGGTTGGTAATTTTACCTTGCATTCTAACTATAACAAAAGTATGTGTTAACTGCATTCGCTTCACAAATCTTTTGAAAGTTTTACGAACACATGTAAAGTGTAAGCTGAATTAAGACTGAATTCTCGTAGAATGTCTTACTCAATATAGTGCTTTGCAATGTCAACACAACATGAAATACAAAAACCACCACCATGTAGGATTAAATGCCTTTTGTTTGTGTGTTTTCACTCCCTGTCACTGAGACGTGCAATCCTCCACTGAAAGTGAAATGCTCTCAGATGAATTTCACTTCAATTTCGATATAACACTTCATTCGTTCATATGAAAATCGATTGTGGTGTTGTACAACGTATGCAACTGTGATAACAAAAATATTAATAATAACAATCATAAAAAAGTAGTAACAAGTATCTCAGTATGTTTGTGTTATTTTTAGTGGCATCATTAATTTTTGATGCTACAGTCACTTGTGAACAAGTTGAGACCTCTTGCATTATTGAGACATTTCATCATGGTTCACAGAATCCTGGTCGAGTGAAAGGCTTCAACTTCCAATCTAATCTTGAAAAGGAGCAGAAAGAAGGGTAAAGTCTTCTACAATATACTGACAGCAATATGACAATAATGCTGTATGGGAAAATAAGTCATGTCAACTAGTGCTACAATCTGGGACAAATCCCAACCATCTTTCGTACCACGCGTTTCCCTTCAACCACTTAAAACTCAACTAAACGTTATCAAAATCATTCACAAACAGAGAAGAAAATCTTATGTCCGATAGATCTTTTCAAAAAGCCACACAGTCGTATTTGTATTCATCAACAAATAATCCATGAAACCAATCAAATACTGATAATTATCAGTTAAAAAATATTTCAACGTAATATCAGGGGAAATCTAGAAGCGAATGAAATCTCCGATCAATTTCAGCATCAGCTGATGGCCTTTCAGCAGACATGTCAAATTCAATGACAAGCGGAAGTGGACATCTATGATTTCTACCTCTAGAAGATTAATATCATACGATTTCATTCTAACAGCATTTTGTTCCTGTTATAAATTTTACTGTAAACGGTCATCATCAAGACAAAATAGGCTGAATTTGTACTCTGTTGTATGTTGCATCATATGATGTTAACTACTTGATAAGATGATAGATGAACTTTGAATCCTAATAAACTGTCATACAATAAACACTGTTGTTATCGATCTAATTTTGTATTGACCAACGTATATAATCTGGACATCACATTACATGAAATCAAAGACCAACACAATTCGCTTGATATTAGATAAGGATAGTTTATACTAACATCTCCAATGTATGTGTATGTTGTGATGGAGAATTGAAGTAGAGGTACAAAGGCAAGGTGCAAAATATATGATGAAGCACCAGTATCGAACAGTGCACTCATCTTAAGTGCAAAAATAATTTATTAATTACATAGCTTCAGTTCAGCACATAATAGGACACTGTTCTCATGATAAACTGTTGCATATTCTATGAAACACTAAATCCATCTAGTATTATTCTCTATATTCCAGCCTGACTATTCATTACACTGACATAATCGACATTTTCACCCATAGGTAGTTAAATGGTAAGTCCCTTTACATAAACACTGAATGACGTGCGTCCGAATCTCGGATGAGGCATAATTTTCCTCATGGTAAGCCACGCCCAGCCACCGATCGACTACTTACATGATCTGATCTTGTGTAACTCAACCAGTCAAAGATATTTCACACCTGGTAGACAGATTTCCATCAATACACTCGAAAAAGACTAAACATCAACACTAACTGCTGAGTGTTGATCGAAATAAGGATTAATTATTCATGCGTAGACCGAAGTCGCAAATCTATCACAAAAATACCTCACACCACCGATACTCATAACTCACATTTTCATTCGACAGTAAAGCATGTTGAACTCTGTTAAGAAGATACCAAAGTCATAGGCAAAGTCAGACCAAAGACGTTCAGCGGCCACAGCGATAACCGGCCTTCAAAATACAAAAGAAAAGAAAAGAATCAATATGGGAGTAATTATATGAATACGGAGACAAAAATGTGGTCCTCAAATGTTCCAGGATGTTCGTGTATAAACACAGTGGAAGCACATTTCAAGACAAAGTGTGATCTTATGACAGTTTTCTTTTATAAACTCTGGTGGTTTGGAGTGAATGCGAAGATGTAGTGTCATGGATTTAGTGGGCGTATTAAATGACTGGCAGACTTTGATTAGCTTAGAAAACGGGCTGGTGAATACTGATGTACACGAGTTGATGAGAAAAGATTAGACAATGGATAATCCGACAGACAAAGAGACAACTGAATGCTGTGAGATGGTGATGAAATTCACTGAATCAAAGCAGTATGATGCTGTTTTTGATTCATGTGAGAGGTTGGAAACCAATAAAGCTGACTAGTGGTGTTTTCTGTGCAGATCAAGCATACGTATTCATAAATACTTTTATGAGATACGAGAATCCCATTGACGACAATAAGGATGCCGAATGAAATTTACCATAAACATCAGATGTACTCAGATCAGAAAATGAACAACTCGAATCCTGCTGATGTTTACTGGCAGCAGTTACACACATCGTTGTGGATGAGAGTGGGTCACTGTGAAGAAGAAGAAGAAGGGTCAACATAAGTCAATGATTTAGAAGTCAACCCTGGATTTAGTTGAATGATCACATATCCAACATTCGAAAATAATTCCTACAATTCCCATAGACAGTCGTTTGATATGAGTAGAGGTGTCAAATCAGCTGTGGTTTTATTGCAATGTTGAGTATGAAAGCATACACACATATCTAGAGTGTTGTTGGCATTTATGAGAGTTAACTCACCGTAATTTTATCATCCTAGCTAATTTTGAATCGCGCTTTTGTGAACAGAAATAGTGAGAGATGGTTTCGCAGTGTCTCGAAAGTCTTCAGCTTTACTTTTAACCATAATGGTAATAGCTGTATTCTGAACAATGTTTATATAATGTACAGAATTTTTGGCACAGTTTATCGCACGATATTTCCTCTTCATCTAGGATCTCCAAATAAAGGATTTATTGACAGTAGATCGTTTGACACAGTTCTATCTGACCTGAAGCGCAAACCAATCCGTTATGATATCTCTTCTTTGCCCTCTTCAAGAAATACACAATATTTTGTTGAATGCCAATCATAAAATGTTCAGGAGTGCATTCTGTGAATGAGGGACTCCATTCAGGAACGATCATGTCATGTGTGGGGATAAGCTGCTATCGAGGATAATGCTTTTCCTCATGTTTAGTAGGAACTTGCGAATAAGCAGGCTGTGAACATTTCAAATACTCACCAGAGCAAACAACACTGCTAGAGAACACACTTTACTCGATTTAAACAAAGCGAATAAGAGAAACTATATGCAATATATTGACGGAGGTTTCCAGTAGCCCAAGTTTTAATCAGGCCGCCAACTATCGTCAAACACTCATAATTGCGAATTGAATGTTACAGACACACCTTCCATAATTCACATGGTTGGACATTGTGATGCTGTACAGCATGCAAGGCCAGTATATAGTCGATCTTCGATTCATGATCAGTTGTGTCCATTATGAAGGCATGTGGGTGAAGTGAACAGGTTAACCTGAACCCACCTCAGCACTTGGTGAATTACCAGTCAAGTCTGCTTACAACCATGCACTAGATTTAAAGGATTGAACATGTGAAGTTGTCAAGTGACAATGTATTTCAGCCACACCACCACTTTTACAAGCAGACTTTGTTGCAGCCATTGAAGGTTTCTCACTCCCTTTCTATTCAGTGGGACAAATGATGGCTCTAGTGAGTAGTTACAGTTTTATTCAACGGTGTATTATTCAACGACAATGAATAGCGTCGCATTTCGCTGATTTCTAAACAACTGTAAGCATAGAGCGAGTACGGGGGAAAGGAGGGAGTAAATGAATCTAACAGAATCACCCATCAGCGTATTCATACCGTTTTTAGATGTAATCAATGCGTTATGTCGATATGACACTGGGTATTAAGAAACAATTCTGTCTTTTGATGACTAACACATTTATACTGGTCTGTGGAAGAGATTGACTCTGAGGAGAAATGGAAAGACTTCAGCCACAGCACTGAAACTGTAAATGAATCAGCATGAAGAGATGTGTGAAAGACGACTCAGGTTGTGATTCACTAATCGCCTCATCTGTCATCTAAATAAAAATGGTGTTATCATGAAGGTGAGTGGCTCAAGCCAGCACTATACAGTTTAGGTGGTAGATAGGCAAATAGATTAATAATTCTCATCGATGAAGTTTATTCTGCATAAAATCCCCAGATTTTCAGATAGGATCATAAAGTGCAAGTGAAATATGTTCGAATGTGTAATTGGTATTCCGGGTTAGTTTAGTTGGGGTTTTGCGAAGAAAATTTATATGTAATGAATGCGTGACGAATATCACAATGAATTCATTCTGTTCACAAGAAGAACAAGAACACCACCGCCGCCACCACCACCACCACCAACTACCACTACTGCTACTACTTATGTTACTGAAACTCAGACTAGTCAGAGTACTCTTGTTCGCAACTTACACTGTGTTGCCACTACTCAAGATTCTTCCAGAAGACATCGCACAACGTACTACTGTAAAATTCTTGTCATCAACGCACACACCACCACACTGCTTCTAGGATTACTACAAGCATTTCCATCTACATCACTAATGTGTCTTAGGAAATTTTGAAGTTCCTTTCACTTGAGAAATTCAATCATTTCTACTAATTTCCAAGTACACTACATCCACAATCAGCAGGAGTCATAGAAGTGTTGAAATAGAAGGCAGTACTGTTGTATCTTAGACTGTAACTTTTCAACAGTGATGTGACATCTCACATGAAACCAATCAATACTCCACCGATCACCATGCTATGAACCAACTCTTCTCCTACTACTGGAGAATGTCAAGATGATTTAGTCAAAGAATGTTTGTGGAAGGGAGAATTCATCGATTCAGTGAAACTTGGAGCGGAATACATAGGTGGAATGCATCGACTTCCACAGAATTATTGATTCACACAAATTCATTCCGCGTGTCAGCTGAATGGACTGGTCATGCGAGAAATGAGTGTGGCTTTGGAGATGATGCAATCACTTGTACATATACACACCAATGCTAGCTATATTACACAACTCATATTTTTATAGATGATCTGTGAAATCTGATCGGTGATAAGGTTTCACTTTCATTTTGTGCACTGAATGTTTGTGTGCAGACGATGAAAAGTGGAGAATTTCTGACACCTTGAGATGAATAGTTCAGTAATGAATTAAGTGTGGGAAATCACTTACCACGATTGTAAGAGTAGATTGGTATCATCCACGTATGTTCCCCAGATGACGAATTCTCCACCGATGACTAATTTAGCTTCTTCATCAGTACCTTTCACAGATGAAATATGTGTGCAAGATTTGTTAATACTCTCAAAATTACTATTATCAGTGTTATGATTATAAGTAGTAGTATTTAACTAATTGCAGCTACACTTCGCGCCGTCAAGCACCTGCAATCTTAATAAATTGAAATATTTCTCAGTGAATCTGGGTTCTAATTAGTTCCACACTTACGCGCATGCGCAGTGCATGCTACAAGTTTGTGGAAAGCGTGTAGATGTGTAGCTGCAGACATATTATTATTATTATAGAGGAGTTGTGATATGCAGCGCTCAACATTTCAGGAATTCAGTACTTCCGTTATAAAGGCACATCTGCCAGATTACATTTTAAATCATGCGTCAAATGTGTTGTGAAGTTGCACAATAGTCAGGATAACTACCTGGTTACTCTTCTGTTTCCAATTTATTCGACTAATGATGATTATTTCTTATTCAAACAATATTCACCATAAGCTTGACTCACCACCAAAATCTGCAGGCTCGCAATAGTAAAACTTTTCTCCGTGGTCAGTGAAATCTCCGTAGTCCTCAGACCAACAGGCTGAGTTTATGACTCTGTAGCCAGCTGATGTGATGGACTTGACGGCACTTTTCCAATCTGAATTATTTAGCACTTGTACAATGGTGTTAGAGTTGCCCTGGAAGACAAAACAGTGATGAATAAGAACCACAAATTTTTACAAAATTCTGTCTGAAAGGACATTGGAGTAGACACGTATTTATTGATGTGAAAATTGATTTCGCCTACTTCTTTTGTCAATGTGATTGTGAACTTTGACAATAGGAAGCACGTCACTTCAATGTTTTGGATTCAGTCATCTGATTGTTCACCTATTTTTATATCATCAAACACCTCGAAAATGAAGTCATGATTAATTCGGTTTCTTTGTGTGCCATCCCCCACATACACACATTTCGTTTTCTCCATCGTGTGAATCAGCCCACGTGTATTTGAAAGTGTTCCGTCCATTACAACTTGTTTTGACGGTTGTACGTACACTCCACCCATCATTTCAGATTACGCGAAGCTGGTCGCTAACCAACTGTCTTTCCAAAGTCGCATAATAACATGGTGTTCTGTTTATTTTCTTTATCTTTGCTTTAAGTGTAGTAACAACATTTGTGAAGAGGAGAAGTACAATATGAGAACTTAGTGCTGGATCCTGTAGTTTTATCGCTACTGGCTTGAACAAGTTCAAGAATTCATCAAGGCATGAGAATCCTTGAAGTCCCCAAATGCGATTAATTCATTATAAATGAGCTGACATTAAACGCAGGTTACTTCTATCCAGTTTCAAGAGGTACACACCTTGCTCTGAGGTGTCGTATTACGTATACAAGTTATGAGATTGTATAATTGATTGACACTGAACAAGGTTGTAACATAAATTAAACATTCGTTAATACACCTGTGTTTGATATCGAATGTCTATTCCGCGAATTAAAGTTATTCAAATTTGCATTCCTTTCCTAGATCTGACATCCGTAATGTTTTTTATAGGATCATGTCAGTAACAGTTGAACATCTAGAGTAACAAGAGGATATATATTCTCACCACTGAGGTTATTCATATTTCTTTACAACGTTCCTCAAATCCATAAATGATCACATCAGCTATTGAGCGATACTAAGGGTTTGTTAATGCGAACAGACAATACAGAACAAACAACGTAAGATTATTCCCTCAGTTAATCAGAAACCTACTCGATATCCGTCTTCAAATACACTCTGCCACACAACCGGTGTCACAGTCCTATGTGCGTCTGAAGTAATATTCTGGATGATCTCCATGAGTTGTTCAAAATAATAACTTTCTAGTTTGTTGTAGTCTTCATCGAATCCATTCTCCTTCATAAATTTCTGAATCGCTTCATCTTCTCGCCTACATAAGGAAACGAATTGACGAAAAAGTGATTAGCGTGTCAAGATCTGAACTATGAGTATTGGATGGACTATAAAATTCAGGCCACCTTCCCCTACCCTCATCAGATAAGAATATTGGAGTGGTAGCAAATCTGATGTTTGGTTGGACAAAACACGTTGAAAACAGTCGAGATGGGAAACCTTTCATCCAAATAATATCGTTAATTCTGTCTGATAGATGTTTTGTCCTTCATTGTGTTTCACCTACTATCTTCTTTGCAGGATTGTAAGCCTCTTATCAGACTTCCTCCTAGGTGAGTTTCCCAATCAGGTTTATATTACTGCTGCGTCTCCGAAGACGTTCCTCTCCATTATACTCATATCCATTTATGCGTGGCACACAGCACACTCCTTTCTATTTCCCGGTGGTTAGAAGTGGAATGATGAGACTCTTTTAGCAGCTGATGCGATAGTGTTGGAAGGGTAGACACATATCAATCATTCGTGTGTCTGCTGAGCGTAACCTTTGTTGATGGAGGTCAAATTAACGAATAGTTAACAAATGAGTGTCTAAGCTCAACTGCTAGAATTTCGGGCTAATACTCCAGATGTGTATAGCCTAAATCATGTCGCAAATGTATTTGTCCACCTCACCTTTGATTGTCACTCATTCCATCTCATTCCGTCTGCTTACTTACTCCTGTAAAGTTGATAAGCTGTAAAAGACTATCGAATCTACTAACAGACTAAAACGGAATTGCACTAATTCGAAGATGATGTGTCCAAAAATGTTTAGATGATGGAATCGAAAGGGAGAATAAACATTAGAAGCCAAAGAACCAAATAGTCAGTGTAGAGCAATATTCAAACATGCCCCATGATATCAAAATGATGAAAAAGAAATATGCGAGTAAACTGCTATCAATTCTTAGATTCAACTGGGAATTCTGTTGGTAATTATCATGAATCAGAATGTGATTGGAGTATTGGCGAACATTTCTGCACTCAAATGAATCACCAGCACTTCACACGAAATGTTTGCTACCAAACACATCGACTTAGCTTGAACTCAAGCTGTCGAATTTCAACATCAATTTGAAGATTATTACACTCACCACCAATGTTTGTCAAATACACTGCCACCCAAATGCAGATAGCCATCGGGAAAAACACTCAAAATCTCTTGGAACAAGTTTGACAGAAATGTACGAACATTGTCACAGGTCGGGTTGATTGGTCCTTTACGTGCTTCGCCTGAGAGTATTTCTGGGTGTCCTTTACCCCATGACAGAGTGTGTCCTGAAAATGCAATAAGGAAGTGGCTTCGAATTATCGTTTAAGCCAGACAGTGAGTAACTGATAGAAACTGGCTCAAACCATTTACAAATGAAACAATGCAATAAGGAGTCTGAGGGACCACGGCAACATGTCTTACTTATAAGAAAACTGGAATGTTTTATTTCGCTGCTTACTATACTGCTAAGACTTACAAAGGCTGTGGTTCAATTGTTTGGGGATTTAGTGTCATAAATGAGTGGAATAATTTCATTTCAAGCCAAAACATACTTTCAACTCTCTCTCTCGCTTAACCCAATAGCAATTCAGATAACATACATTTTGGTGTGAAGTATTTCCACATAATTACTGCATCTGATCTGGTAATATTTCACTCTGTTGCTTTTCATAGTTCAATTAATCAATGGTACAACAAAGAGGATATTTTAAACCGGGAGTAATTAGCTGACTCCGCCTCCTTCAACGAAGCGATTACGAAGGATTAAATCAGTGATGCATCAGTGCTCGAAATTCTTCGGTGGTGTACACTTAAAACTTCGTGATGATCAGCCATCTAGGGTTTGAGGATCCAACTTCTCTCACTTCGTCGGAGACACAAAAACACTCATTCAGATAACTAGCTCTACTCTTCTTGGCCTCGATATTCAACTTGACACAAATGCGTCTTACATTTTCGATGTGGCCACCAATACAACCTGGTGGTTTACAAGGCTCTTGTGCAAACGAGCTTTCCTACCTAGTAGATTTGTGAGTCTACTGTTCTAATCGTTGTTCGCAACGACAACCACCACGACAAGACAACCACGCCAACACGTGAAGCAAGAAAGAAGGAGAGAAAGAACACAGACTGTGGAAAAGAGAGATTCTACTATCTCGAATCAAAAGTGAAATGGCCTGACAGCAATTCCACATGTATAGATTTTAAAGGACCTACAGAGACACTAATCTCACTGATAAGATGAAACAGCCAACAACCAATAGTGTTCAGTCGTCATAAGGGGGCGAAATACAAACATGTCATTACCGCAAATAAAGATAGTAGTTTAAAGCTTTGTATAAATCAAGTGTACATAACAAATTTACAAGGAATACTAAGCATAATCCTACAATGCGTTATCCCTACGCAGTAATGTAACAGATTCACTGAGCTAGCTAAACGCATTCGCGAAAAACTTAAAACACAAAGGAATTTGCCATTCAAGGCGTTCAAAAAAATCATATCACACTTAAATAAATCGGAGAGTCAAAAAGCTATTGTATTGAGAAAAAAATCTCATCGAATATAAATCTCACCTGGTGTATCAAATTCCACTATCACGCGAACTCCATGTAGTCGAGCGAATTCTATCAACGAGTCAATCTCACCCCTTTCATATACATATTCATGTGGATGATATGCTCCCTGAGAATTCCAAACAGAAATTAATTATTTCCACGATAATTTCTCACCTTTGAAGATAATTCAGGATAAACGGTGGAAGAATACGGAAAGGATTCATCATCTGTCATATGCCAGTGCAATACATTCATCTTCACTATTGATAATGCAACCTTTATTCAAGTTCAATGAAACACGTGAATGGAAGAGCCGAACTACTCACTGTAATATTTTTGATAGCTTCAGTGCTCAGATAATGCTTGGAAGTGTCAATCAACACTCCTCTATGTGCCAATCTTGGCCAGTCTTCCATTTTGCGTTGAAATATCACGTTCTAGTAGTAGTTTGTGCAAGTAATTCTAGGCTTTACCTGACCGAGTTTACTTCTCCACACCAATTGAAGTATTGTTTCAAGTGCATGTAACGTTCCCCAAATCTCTTTTGAATAAATACTTATCGTACCGTTGTCAATCTCCACTGAATCTGGATAATTATATGTTTTCATTTAAACTTAACAGATGCACTAAACTTACATGACTCGTCCATTGAGGCTGATGGCCACAATTCGCTCTTTTCTTCATTACATCCTCCCGATATGTTAAACGCAATACGAGATATTGAACATCCGTCTGTAAATCGGTAATCGAGTGGTATATGTTTCATTTTCAGTCGTGATACAAAGCGCCTTGTGGCTTCCTCCAATATGTAGCATGAGGTGTAACTGTTTTCGAAGCTCAATGATTCACTTATTTTGCATAGTGCACCGTGATCAGAAGATTCTTTCATGTTAGGAATTATAGCGTGGGAAATTACTAAGTTAAATACTAGGAGTATCGTTGAGAATTTCATGGTGAAGATTTTGTCAATCTGAAAGAAAAATAGATGTACTGTTTTAGTTCTCTCAATTTTGTGATGGCTCTGAAACTGAGCATTTCATCACCACAGATCTTCAAATGACATCACAAGCCAGGCCCTCAAACTTTCACTACAGTGAGAACAACCCACACCTAATTGAATGTAATTTGTACAAAATTGAAGGTATGATCACGGGAGTATGGTTGAGTGATTAGAACTTACCTAATACCACACGTAACACTATGTTTCTCATTGACATCATATACGCTATAGTGATTCCATGAAAATATTTATGTTGCATAAATATCGACCGAGTTGCAGTTTTTTGAAGGCAAAGGACTAAATGACACATGTTCTATTTGCACATACACAAAGACAGGTACAAATGTTGTGTTTAATCACCATTCATAAAATGTTCCATTGAAACATTAGATCTCTTGAATAAACCAATCACAAAAACCCGTCGAATAGAAACCCAGTGTGTTATAAAATGGCACTGCTGAGAGATGCATTGGTGTTTGGTGGACTGAGAAGAATCAAAGCAATGATGAGTGTTTTATCAGAGATGCAAAGCTAGCTGTGTTGCTGTCTTGCACAGTGATCTGCTTCATGAAACTGACAACACCAGTACTGACCGTAGTTAAATTGTCTTTCATTTGATTATAGGGAGAGGAGGAAATGGTGAATGGTTCAAAGTATGTAACATCAGACTCTGTTATTAGAACACAACGGAGATACTTTCAAATGCGACATTTATTAGCTAACAGAATAACCACAACAGTTGTCAAGTGGTGTTATTAAGAAGATACTCCCGCCCACATGACATACATAAACAATTAGTATCTTTTAGAAGTGATAAAGTTTCTCGTCGAAACATGTCTTAGCTAATCCAATTCTAAATTCCATGCTGAATGACTTAGGACATTCAGAGTAAGAGTGAACTAATATGAGCAGTATACACCTTATCTGCATAATCATCATCGGCTAACTGAGTGGTAGAGGATGGCAAATTTTCAGTTGTCATGCAATTGTCTTCATCAGCCATATAAAGGCGAATAAGAGTTGTGGCAGCTGAAAGTCTCTTGTCCCATTATGCACACAACTTTGCTTATTTCCCAAAAAGACTGAATGATCTCAACTGCCGAATGAGAACGTAAGTTATAAATAATTGTATTGTCGTTTCACTAAGCATATAAGTCCTCTCTAATGTTTTGCTGCATGTGTCGTTCTGTATGACGTCAAAAGTGCTAAAATACAGGACTGCGAACAATTGGATCGTTTGAAGCAACTATATCTGAAGGCATTGATGCGGTGTTTTTAAATTAACTGTGTCATCCACCCAATATCTGAATCAGTTACATAGATAGTCAAATTCACACATGCTCCCCCTGTCCTACTCACTAATGTATTTATCTTCTATACACTCCTCTTCATTTTGTGAATTTTGTATTGCTTACGGATTTCACACATTTCGTCTGTCTGAATCTTTAGTGATCACTCGCCAGTTTTTAACTACTGTTGAACACATAGTATTGTGTGCGTCTCGCCAATTCTTATCGACAGGACACAAAACGCACGAATAATGGCGCTGAACTGTGGCATTGTTTAGTTCATGATTAAAATTTATCTACGATAAAAATAGGACTATAAGGCTCTCTCTGTAGTGTTTCCTCAAAGTAAAATTAACGGATTCGAAATCCCAAGCACATCGGAATTGTGTTTAAATGACTACTGCTGACAAGACACAACCGAACATGCTACGTCATCTCTATTGTATGTGATGGGTGTTGACTAGCCAACTCACTCAAAGGTTACATTTGTTGAATTAAAGGACCAATAGACCTGACTAGGCAAAATAATATTTACTACCACACACCACATAATGACAATAGGATTAAGTAAATAGGTCAGAGTGATAGATCGGGGTCAGTAAAATTATCGGAACATAAGGATTTAGATAAGTCTATAATGACTGCCCTCCCTAATTTAAGTAATCTAGAAAGACGCCCGGTCATTGCAGTGCATCGCTGGTTCAATGGTAGAATGCTCCACAGCCACGCGGGAGATTAAGACTAAGTTCCTGGTGATACATTCCTAAACCTCACCTAGTTCACTAGCGAGTAGTGACCTGGGAAATGAGAGAAGTTCAGGTATGAGGCCAGGAACTCCGCGTCGTGAGGAAGAACACTATCACCACTGAAACTTCAAATCTTAAAGCTTGAAGCCCCGTGCTCCACTCGGAACTCAAGGAATCCAAGGGAAAATTGGCACACTGATATATTTCTGAACGATCATTTGTGATCTAAACAAAATTCAATTACTAACACTGTATCACCATGTGTATGTTATATCAAATAAACTCACCTAATACCGAGTTATATTCAGTTATAGTCAGTCATCTTACAAAGTGAGTTAAGTTGTGGAAGGATGACATCTCTGGGACTGTTCATTAGGAAATGAAGATATATTGAGTCTCATTTTTTCGAATTACCAGATGATATATAATTGAAAAGGCGAACCCACCAACAATATCACACAGAATAACGTCAATGAAATACTCACACAAATTTGAGGTGAGTGTGTTCATCACTGTCGAAGGGACCCAATTATGTCATCTGATTTGGAAGAAGACGAATAACGCACTGCAACAGATCACACAATCTCCTTACTGACAGACCATCATAGTAAGTAGTTCAGAGACTCTCAGAAGATGATTAATATGCTATAGCTTCTTAAGGCTAGGCCATTTTTCTCGTGGCAACGCCTTATAATGTAAATGATTACAAAGTGGTTTAGGAGAACTAGAATTTGACGCTTAACTTCAAGTGAAATACCGAATTTCTCTCATCATCCACCAGATGTATAAATTGAAAGACGAAAATAACACAGAGACGATGTAAATGACTCACCGCTATACCAAGAAGGCAATAGCTTGTAGAATATTCATTATACGAAGAAAGATTTTCAGATATTAGTACTATTATTAAATACAAACTGGTTTTTCACTAGGATATTATTCAACACTAAGGCGTCATTAGGCGTATGGGGCTATCTCCCTCTGCGTTCAATCACTTACTTCGCAACAGATGTACCGCATAAAATAACATTCACGTTTATTTCGCTTTAACGCCTAGAATTCAATCACCAACATAAGGGAATGTGAGCATTCACAATTTTTGTGAAATACAAATACCATCTGATGAAGAAACAAAATGAAGAAAATTCATCTGTGCAGAGACAAATTGGTTCGGATTAAAATTTGTTATAGGAACGCTTACTTCAGTGTGAAGAATACGTCAAGAAACAGTATAATTGTAGTTTATCTCATCCACACTATGACCTCAGCTTAAATAAGGTTTATGGTAATTTAATAAGTTTCAAAGTTCATTCGGAATACTTCAGACGTCACTTTAAAAGATATTTTCTCATGTAGTTGGTAAATGATGATGTTCATGATGGCTACACTGCTTTGTAAACAGATAAGCTGGAAAAAAACTTTGATCTATCTCGGACAAACAGACTGAAAACTGATAAATACACATTGAAATGTGTGGTAGCTTTTGAGTTAGAAAGCAAATTACTAAAACTTATTTTAGAGAAACATTCAGGGTTGATAAATGATAATTCTCTGTCGATGGATATCAGTTCATCACTGTTGTTTTTCGTTTTCGATATGAATGAATTGTGTGGAGTTCAAGCGTTGCTCGATGAGATTTCAGCGATGTGATGACCTGGTTAGCAGCGGTATCTCATAGATTAGCTGACACATTGATAGGTTAGTAAGTGGTAGAATGTTAGTCAGAATCCTACATCAATCCAGATTTCCATTCCATTTTCAGTCATCACCCATTGGTCAAAGTTTAGCTGAACTGATATCTTTGCCTTTCCAATCGCTTTCTCTTCTCAAACACTTGGACAGGAAAGAAATGTTTGCAGAGGATTGCACATAACTAGTACCAGTTATTGCCATCGCTTACAAATGAGGAGAAACTCCTGGTCATAAATAAAATTAAGCTGATAGATATTCACATCTTATATACATCAGAAGATAATCAACCAGAAATCTTCGATTTGAGTTCCACACTCGTTTATACTCCCCAGGTTGATGAATGCGCAAGCTCGAACCTGACTCCTAGTGTCTACAATACTTGACAATAATCCATGCAGTATCACATTCACAGGAGACAAGAAAGAGTCTGTACACTTTGTGATTGATGAACAATTCTATTAAGTGAGGCTCACTAAAATATAAGCATGCTAATCTTGATTTCAATTTATTATGATTACAAGTGATCAAGAAGTAGTGAGAACACTGAACGGATCCACCTATATAGTTTTATGTAGGCTAAATACTTTATGATAATTTTATATATTTCATTATAATACTCTAATGGTATATAGAGGTTTGTCTTCAAAGTTAGCATTCTTCTCGTAAATGATAGTGCTACAAAGAAGCAAACTCTTCTGTCTTACAAACGGGTGTGTTTATAAATGTGGAATTTTAAGGAAATACAATGACTGAATAACTTACAAATCGGCTGCATGAAGCCCTGACTAATAGTCAAGTTTCAGTGTGGTTACACCTGTCAGATATTGCCGTCAGTCTTTGAGAGAAATAAATTCCTGAAAACAAAACACGTAGATCAGCGAAGAGTCTCTTTTCGGCGAATTCATTTTCTTAGCTGTACAATCGCAAATATATATGTGTTATTTTGTATGTGTGTGTACATTAAGTTCGTCAAACAAAAATACAATTGGTTATAGTTATTTTAACTAAACAGGTGAAGATTGGTAATTGGAGTCACGTAATACAAAATCAGTCAAGATAAATTCCTGTTTCATTTTAGGTTCCTTCCAAGAAATCCGTAGAGATAACTGAATTCATTTATAAAAGAAGCGTTTGATATTCGTGTAAAATTCAAAACTACTGGATACGTCTGAAGTACAGCGATATATTGCATATAAAATGATGACAATAAAATACAAACCTCGAACCGTGAGTTGTCTTAGTCTGAATGCCGTCAAATGCAATAGCAATGTGGTTCAGTAAGAAAACGGAGTAAATCTTTATCAAGGGCGACCCATGGTTAGATAAAACAGCGCGCAAATGTCCAGAAAATAAATAGAAGTATAGAATTAGCGAATTTCAGCAGAGATTGTCACATAAATAAAGCATGTACAGCAGATAGCGTTAAACCGTAAGAAGATAATCACTGAGAATCAAATAGAATGCTCATGCATTAAGTGAGATAAACTGTATTAGCAACAATAGTTATGGTTACGGAGATAGGACATAGAGCACATGGTATGAACTCATGTTCATAAGTAGTATAAAGCATAAAAGAAATAATAACAAATGAGAGATGAGAGGGAAATTAACACTCACGTCATGTAAGCTAGGCCCCTAACAACTAAGAATGTTTAGTATAAATAGAAAAGATTATCGCTCGTATTTTTAACTAGCTCACAGTTTATGATGTCACTAACGGCGTTAAATGGGTCACATGCTATGTCGTTAATGTTTACGATACCATACAGTAAAACGCTCTCCCTGACGTTTGAGTTACGGTCGTCTACTGAAAATAGAGACCTTAATCGCCTCAATGTGAAATTCATGCCTTATCATTCGCATCTCAGAAGTAATATGTAGAAGCGAATAAAGACGGAAACGCTATTAGAAGACATTGACAATCCTAAGTGAAAGTTAACCGGGCACTATGGCGAAATAATGAAGGTACAGACAGGGACTAGTAAGCAGAAGTGTTGGGTGCTTCGACTGTAATAGAACAGTGCGTGAGTAAATTGCCATTTCAAGAAACATACGTTTTTCGCATATGATGAATATGTTATTCACACATCCCATGCATATTCGAGATTTCTGTATAAAAATCTTTAAGGATGATATTTCTAGGCTGATGATAAATGACATTCAACACTTTAATTACTCGTCCTTTAACCTGTGCAAGCAGATGGAATCCGTTGTGCAACGTGTCTCGAACTACTGCACCATTATCCAGTCATCAATCGCCAGTCACCGAATTCTGAGCTGGTGTTTCGCTCAAGAAGACCAATTCCAAATGCAGGCTCATGGAAAGGTAATGAAGAATCACAGCACCCAAAGAAGTAAGTTGTATTAATGCCAGTTACTTGCTATGGCTGTAAAGAGGTTTAGTTTTTAAAAAAATATCTAATGTTTACCAACGTCTTTTTATGATTATCTGATTGCTCTGAGCGCCGTGCTAATATTTAAAATTATCCAATACCCGTCGTGGATGTTTTATTCACCATCCTAAATGGTGGCTGTTACTCTGCAAAATCATACCTCACCTCCTCATATCTGTAATTTGATTTAACCCTGAAAAGGTGGGAACTCTTAATCATCATGATTTATCTCATCTGAACAGATTACTTTTCAGCTTTAAAACAGGACGTGCAATTTCTCAGCAGTTGTTAGGTACCAGTTTGGTTGGTATTCACTTCCAGCTTATAATCTTAACCAGGTTTTGATTGTAGCTGGGACCTTACATTAAAACCAAAACCAACTTGCCAGGAATATGTGAAAGCGGACTGGGAATGTATGCAGTTAAGTTTAGATTTCCTTTAAGATCTGTTGAAATCCCTGGACCTGAATTTGATGAGTTCGGTAGATATCTGCAGTCTGACAGTATTGATGTAAAAGAAGAGATCCCAGTACCAAAAGTGTGCCTCTTCATATTTCTTCAAAGGGTTAATTAGCTACTAGTCAGCATTTCTCCCACAATTGTTTATTATTCGAATCCCAGTAAATCATTTAGTAGAAAAGAATGTAACCAAGGAATGATCAGAAGACTAAAAGACCTCTTTGGAAAACCTGAAGTCCATGATGAGCCTTTAAATTCTTTCCGCATATGATATCCAAGCACTCCTAACTATAGTCGCAGCAGATGGTTTAGCCTGTGGAATGGGAGCAAAGGTTTACCGTGTCTTTCCAAATAGTTCGCAGAAGTTGTCATGAATGTGTGCAGTACGCTGAATCTGAAAAGTTGAGATATAAACAGGCTGAAATTTAAGACTTGGTACAGCCTTCACTGTCCCATGTTTTGATCAGAATATTTAGGATTATCGGAAAACAAGAAAACTTACACGTGAGATGTTCGAACATGTATCCCAGCTGAGGGAGAGAGAGAGAAAGAGATATGGAGTGAATAAGTGAACAAGATAGTATTCTAAGTGTAAAGTGAGCTCTCATTTTACAACAGAGCCATAGTAGTGGGAGTCTATTCCTACGAACGCAGCCAACTGATTATGACTGTGGACAACTATCTTAAATATACCGGGATATGATTTCTACATTTAGTGATACTCTATTCGGCCAGATCAGTGATTAGTCCAATACAAGTAAATATTCTGTGAGTCCAGCGGTCGCCTTCAACGTCTAAGCAGTTACCCTCGTATATACAAAGAATTACCGCTGAAATTCAGCACACACACACTTGGTGATGGCATCCTACAGTGGAACATCTATTAGGCATCAATTCATTAAACAAGCATTCAGCTCGGTGGGGAATCTGATTTGCCATCACGATCTCTCTTGTGTTGTTCAAGACTGGCTAATTTTAAGCATATTGGAAATTTAATGAAAGCTCTCCTAGCCAACTGCATCGTGTTACACACTACTGATTGACATGAGTAGTCGAAAGTTACTCATATTAATCACTAGTGCTTGTCAGTCGAACCGTAGTGATTCTAATACTCTTCTGAAATGAGTCAAAGCAGACATACTACTGATGTCCCCCTCACAAAAAACGAGCCAAATGACTACCCGGTGTTTGGATTACATCAATCCAACCAGCAAGCACAAGTAGTTTTTTTTCGACTAGTCATGTCAATCATCAGCATTTATGCACATATATATGGAATCTGATTTTTGTTTTTCTTGGACGTTACCTAGTATGTCTACATGGACATTTGCTTTTATGATCATTTTTCTTATTCATTTTCGTTCCTAGTGGAACAAATAGCGTCACCCTAGTGCTTCGAACTTTCAGTGACAGTGGTGTTTTTAAGGGATGGAGTTGCTAGCTTCACGCCCAACCTTCTCTCTTTACCGCGTTTGCTACCGGGTAAGTGAGGTTAGGAATGTGTCGGCCGGGGATCGAACCCTGGACCACTTGTGTGGTTGACGAGTGTTCTACCACTAAGCCACCGATGCACTTGTATAATCATGCTATCCTTATAATCACGAACTACTACAGTTTTCATCTTTGTTATCAATATAATTGTCGTTAATATTATGATAGCACTGTCTTATCATCCTATTGACAAACCCTTGTAACTGCTTTACATATACTATTCATACGTAAAGTTATATGTATTGGAGTAAAACTTTAATGGGATCTAAATGAAAAGTTATTTCATAAACAAACTGTAAAGTATCCTTGAGTAGATGTAGTTGTTTTGCCAACTTGTTTGCACGCACATGGGTTTATAAAAATTCTCAGACTTCAATTGGAAGCAGTGTCACTTGATCATATTTTGAGTGGTAAAGCAGTCGAATTTCGAAAAATCAGACTGAAAGAATATTCACTGGTGAGTGATGTCATTATTTTTCTCTTCATTGTTTGCCTTTTGTGTGCAAAGTACATCTCTACGCTTTAAGGTTTCAATGGCGGTAGTGAGACTGTTAGCCTCACACTCACTTCTCCCTGTATTCTGTAATCAGTATCGGTTAGGCAGTTTAGAAGTGCGTCAGTTGGGAATGGAACCTCGACCTTACTTGTGGCTGACGTGCAATCTACCACTAAACCATAGATGCGCAATCGTTATCATGATATACAAAAATATCAGTAACAGAATTTATGAGCCGTGTTAAAAGCATTGGCTTGTGGGTTTACTGTAAAAATTCATTTATGTGACATATATAGTGCGACTCGACTGAGAATCGGTTTCATGTTGATGGAACAAACAAGGAATACGCAAGACAAACATATTAGATATGGTGGAGCGACCGAAACTGAGAAACGACTTGTTTGAATGAAAGAATTAAGTTATTATTTGTACTTGCTGTTGTTCACTGCTGTGTATATTACAGTCTATTCATCCACCATGATGTTTTCTGAACGGAATTCCATCAATCTGATTTCATTTTTCACATTTGGTGTTAATTCCTTTCCTATCTATTCTTTATTACTGTCACATTTGTTTTCAACTGTACACTACTTACTACTAGTGTAACAACAGAAGACAAGGGCCAGGCAACAGATCGTTTATTAAGGAAATCAAAGCATATTTATATATTTTCATGTACATTATTATAGATTAGTTAGGCAAACAAACACAGTCTTCTGATTGGTTGCTTCTCACTTAAAGTCAATCTTTCATCTCTTTGTGACTGTTTCTTGAATGTCAGATCATCTATATGTTAACTGTATCCGCCTACGCAAAGTCTGCTGTGGTCGGTTTTGAATCAGTCTTTGTTCATATTTTCTCACGACAAATCTTGAGAACGTAAACACTGACGTAAATTACTATCTACCAATTTGACTAGTAGACAGCTCTCATCACACTCGACCCCCGTCAAATAGTTTGGAATGAAGTCGGCTTGATCTTTTCGGTGCTGGCGTCATCGATGGCTTGTCTTGCTATATCCATTTCTGGAGCTCACTGATGTTCACCCGCTACTCTGTGTTTACCATTGCGACTGTGTATAACTTTAATTCGCGGAATAGACATTCGATATCAAACACAGGTGTATTAACGAATGTTTAATTTATGTTACAACCTTGTTCAGTGTCAATCAATTATACAATCCCATAACTTGTATACGTAATACGACACCTCAGAGCAAGGTGTGTACCTCTTGAAACTGGATAGAAGTAACCTGCGTTTAATGTCAGCTCATTTATAATGAATTAATCGCATTTGGGGACTTCAAGGATTCTCATGCCTTGATGAATTCTTGAACTTGTTCAAGCCAGTAGCGATAAAACTACAGGATCCAGCACTAAGTTCTCATATTGTACTTCTCCTCTTCACAAATGTTGTTACTACACTTAAAGCAAAGATAAAGAAAATAAACAGAACACCATGTTATTATGCGACTTTGGAAAGACAGTTGGTTAGCGACCAGCTTCGCGTAATCTGAAATGATGGGTGGAGTGTACGTACAACCGTCAAAACAAGTTGTAATGGACGGAACACTTTCAAATACACGTGGGCTGATTCACACGATGGAGAAAACGAAATGTGTGTATGTGGGGGATGGCACACAAAGAAACCGAATTAATCATGACTTCATTTTCGAGGTGTTTGATGATATAAAAATAGGTGAACAATCAGATGACTGAATCCAAAACATTGAAGTGACGTGCTTCCTATTGTCAAAGTTCACAATCACATTGACAAAAGAAGTAGGCGAAATCAATTTTCACATCAATAAATACGTGTCTACTCCAATGTCCTTTCAGACAGAATTTTGTAAAAATTTGTGGTTCTTATTCATCACTGTTTTGTCTTCCAGGGCAACTCTAACACCATTGTACAAGTGCTAAATAATTCAGATTGGAAAAGTGCCGTCAAGTCCATCACATCAGCTGGCTACAGAGTCATAAACTCAGCCTGTTGGTCTGAGGACTACGGAGATTTCACTGACCACGGAGAAAAGTTTTACTATTGCGAGCCTGCAGATTTTGGTGGTGAGTCAAGCTTATGGTGAATATTGTTTGAATAAGAAATAATCATCATTAGTCGAATAAATTGGAAACAGAAGAGTAACCAGGTAGTTATCCTGACTATTGTGCAACTTCACAACACATTTGACGCATGATTTAAAATGTAATCTGGCAGATGTGCCTTTATAACGGAAGTACTGAATTCCTGAAATGTTGAGCGCTGCATATCACAACTCATCTATAATAATAATAATATGTCTGCAGCTACACATCTACACGCTTTCCACAAACTTGTAGCATGCACTGCGCATGCGCGTAAGTGTGGAACTAATTAGAACCCAGATTCACTGAGAAATATTTCAATTTATTAAGATTGCAGGTGCTTGACGGCGCGAAGTGTAGCTGCAATTAGTTAAATACTACTACTTATAATCATAACACTGATAATAGTAATTTTGAGAGTATTAACAAATCTTGCACACATATTTCATCTGTGAAAGGTACTGATGAAGAAGCTAAATTAGTCATCGGTGGAGAATTCGTCATCTGGGGAACATACGTGGATGATACCAATCTACTCTTACAATCGTGGTAAGTGATTTCCCACACTTAATTCATTACTGAACTATTCATCTCAAGGTGTCAGAAATTCTCCACTTTTCATCGTCTGCACACAAACATTCAGTGCACAAAATGAAAGTGAAACCTTATCACCGATCAGATTTCACAGATCATCTATAAAAATATGAGTTGTGTAATATAGCTAGCATTGGTGTGTATATGTACAAGTGATTGCATCATCTCCAAAGCCACACTCATTTCTCGCATGACCAGTCCATTCAGCTGACACGCGGAATGAATTTGTGTGAATCAATAATTCTGTGGAAGTCGATGCATTCCACCTATGTATTCCGCTCCAAGTTTCACTGAATCGATGAATTCTCCCTTCCACAAACATTCTTTGACTAAATCATCTTGACATTCTCCAGTAGTAGGAGAAGAGTTGGTTCATAGCATGGTGATCGGTGGAGTATTGATTGGTTTCATGTGAGATGTCACATCTGTTGAAAAGTTACAGTCTAAGATACAACAGTACTGCCTTCTATTTCAACACTTCTATGACTCCTGCTGATTGTGGATGTAGTGTACTTGGAAATTAGTAGAAATGATTGAATTTCTCAAGTGAAAGGAACTTCAAAATTTCCTAAGACACATTAGCGATGTAGATGGAAATGCTTGTAGTAATCCTAGAAGCAGTGTGGTGGTGTGTGCGTTGATGACAAGAATTTTACAGTAGTACGTTGTGCGATGTCTTCTGGAAGAATCTTGAGTAGTGGCAACACAGTGTAAGTTGCGAACAAGAGTACTCTGACTAGTCTGAGTTTCAGAAACATAAGTAGTAGTAGCAGTAGTGGTAGTTGGTGGTAGTGGTGGTGGCGGTGGTGTGGCGGTGGTGTTCTTGTTCTTCTTGTGAACAGAATGAATTCATTGTGATATTCGTCACGCATTCATTACATATAAATTTTCTTCGCAAAATCCCAACTAAACTAACCCGGAATACCAATTACACATTCGAACATATTTCACTTGCACTTTATGATCCTATCTGAAAATCTGGGGATTTTATGCAGAATAAACTTCATCGATGAGAATTATTAATCTATTTGCCTATCTACCACCTAAACTGTATAGTGCTGGCTTGAGCCACTCACCTTCATGATAACACCATTTTTATTTAGATGACAGATGAGGCGATTAGTGAATCACAACCTGAGTCGTCTTTCACACATCTCTTCATGCTGATTCATTTACAGTTTCAGTGCTGTGGCTGAAGTCTTTCCATTTCTCCTCAGAGTCAATCTCTTCCACAGACCAGTATAAATGTGTTAGTCATCAAAAGACAGAATTGTTTCTTAATACCCAGTGTCATGTCGACATAACGCATTGATTACATCTAAAAACGGTATGAATACGCTGATGGGTGATTCTGTTAGATTCATTTACTCCCTCCTTTCCCCCGTACTCGCTCTATGCTTACAGTTGTTTAGAAATCAGCGAAATGCGACGCTATTCATTGTCGTTGAATAATACACCGTTGAATAAAACTGTAACTACTCACTAGAGCCATCATTTGTCCCACTGAATAGAAAGGGAGTGAGAAACCTTCAATGGCTGCAACAAAGTCTGCTTGTAAAAGTGGTGGTGTGGCTGAAATACATTGTCACTTGACAACTTCACATGTTCAATCCTTTAAATCTAGTGCATGGTTGTAAGCAGACTTGACTGGTAATTCACCAAGTGCTGAGGTGGGTTCAGGTTAACCTGTTCACTTCACCCACATGCCTTCATAATGGACACAACTGATCATGAATCGAAGATCGACTATATACTGGCCTTGCATGCTGTACAGCATCACAATGTCCAACCATGTGAATTATGGAAGGTGTGTCTGTAACATTCAATTCGCAATTATGAGTGTTTGACGATAGTTGGCGGCCTGATTAAAACTTGGGCTACTGGAAACCTCCGTCAATATATTGCATATAGTTTCTCTTATTCGCTTTGTTTAAATCGAGTAAAGTGTGTTCTCTAGCAGTGTTGTTTGCTCTGGTGAGTATTTGAAATGTTCACAGCCTGCTTATTCGCAAGTTCCTACTAAACATGAGGAAAAGCATTATCCTCGATAGCAGCTTATCCCCACACATGACATGATCGTTCCTGAATGGAGTCCCTCATTCACAGAATGCACTCCTGAACATTTTATGATTGGCATTCAACAAAATATTGTGTATTTCTTGAAGAGGGCAAAGAAGAGATATCATAACGGATTGGTTTGCGCTTCAGGTCAGATAGAGCTGTGTCACACGATCTACTGTCAATAAATCCTTTATTTGGAGATCCTAGATGAAGAGGAAATATCGTGCGATAAACTGTGCCAAAAATTCTGTACATTATATAAACATTGTTCAGAATACAGCTATTACCATTATGGTTAAAAGTAAAGCTGAAGACTTTCGAGACACTGCGAAACCATCTCTCACTATTTCTGTTCACAAAAGCGCGATTCAAAATTAGCTAGGATGATAAATTTACGGTGAGTTAACTCTCATAAATGCCAACAACACTCTAGATATGTGTGTATGCTTTCATACTCAACATTGCAATAAAACCACAGCTGATTTGACACCTCTACTCATATCAAACGACTGTCTATGGGAATTGTAGGAATTATTTTCGAATGTTGGATATGTGATCATTCAACTAAATCCAAGGTTGACTTCTAAATCATTGACTTATGTTGACCCTTCTTCTTCTTCTTCACAGTGACCCACTCTCATCCACAACGATGTGTGTAACTGCTGCCAGTAAACATCAGCAGGATTCGAGTTGTTCATTTTCTGATCTGAGTACATCTGATGTTTATGGTAAATTTCATTCGGCATCCTTATTGTCGTCAATGGGATTCTCGTATCTCATAAAAGTATTTATGAATACGTATGCTTGATCTGCACAGAAAACACCACTAGTCAGCTTTATTGGTTTCCAACCTCTCACATGAATCAAAAACAGCATCATACTGCTTTGATTCAGTGAATTTCATCACCATCTCACAGCATTCAGTTGTCTCTTTGTCTGTCGGATTATCCATTGTCTAATCTTTTCTCATCAACTCGTGTACATCAGTATTCACCAGCCCGTTTTCTAAGCTAATCAAAGTCTGCCAGTCATTTAATACGCCCACTAAATCCATGACACTACATCTTCGCATTCACTCCAAACCACCAGAGTTTATAAAAGAAAACTGTCATAAGATCACACTTTGTCTTGAAATGTGCTTCCACTGTGTTTATACACGAACAGCCTGGAACATTTGAGGACCACATTTTTGTCTCCGTATTCATATAATTACTCCCATATTGATTCTTTTCTTTTATTTTGTATTTTGAAGGCCGGTTATCGCTGTGGCCGCTGAACGTCTTTGGTCTGACTTTGCCTATGACTTTGGTATCTTCTTAACAGAGTTCAACATGCTTTACTGTCGAATGAAAATGTGAGTTATGAGTATCGGTGGTGTGAGGTATTTTTGTGATAGATTTGCGACTTCGGTCTACGCATGAATAATTAATCCTTATTTCGATCAACACTCAGCAGTTAGTGTTGATGTTTAGTCTTTTTCGAGTGTATTGATGGAAATCTGTCTACCAGGTGTGAAATATCTTTGACTGGTTGAGTTACACAAGATCAGATCATGTAAGTAGTCGATCGGTGGGTGGGCGTGGCTTACCATGAGGAAAATTATGCCTCATCCGAGATTCGGACGCACGTCATTCAGTGTTTATGTAAAGGGACTTACCATTTAACTACCTATGGGTGAAAATGTCGATTATGTCAGTGTAATAAATAGTCAGGCTGGAATATAGAGAATAATACTAGATGGATTTAGTGTTTCATAGAATATGCAACAGTTTATCATGAGAACAGTGTCCTATTATGTGCTGAACTGAAGCTATGTAATTAATAAATTATTTTTGCACTTAAGATGAGTGCACTGTTCGATACTGGTGCTTCATCATATATTTTGCACCTTGCCTTTGTACCTCTACTTCAATTCTCCATCACAACATACACATACATTGGAGATGTTAGTATAAACTATCCTTATCTAATATCAAGCGAATTGTGTTGGCCTTTGATTTCATGTAATGTGATGTCCAGATTATATACGTTGGTCAATACAAAACTAGATCGATAACAACAGTGTTTATTGTATGACAGTTTATTAGGATTCAAAGTTCATCTATCATCTTATCAAGTAGTTAACATCATATGATGCAACATACAACAGAGTACAAATTCAGCCTATTTTGTCTTGATGATGACCGTTTACAGTAAAATTTATAACAGGAACAAAATGCTGTTAGAATGAAATCGTATGATATTAATCTTCTAGAGGCAGAAATCATAGATGTCCACTTCCGCTTGTCATTGAATTTGACATGTCTGCTGAAAGTCCATCAGCTGATGTTGAAATTGATCGGAGATTTCATTCGCTTCTAGATTTCCCCTGATATTACGTTGAAATATTTTTTAACTGATAATTATCAGTATTTGATTGGTTTCATGGATTATTTGTTGATGAATACAAATACGACTGTGTGGCTTTTTGAAAAGATCTATCGGACATAAGATTTTCTTCTCTGTTTGTGAATGATTTTGATAACGTTTAGTTGAGTTTTAAGTGGTTGAAGGGAAACGCGTGGTACGAAAGATGGTTGGGATTTGTCCCAGATTGTAGCACTAGTTGACATGACTTATTTTCCCATACAGCATTATTGTCATATTGCTGTCAGTATATTGTAGAAGACTTTACCCTTCTTTCTGCTCCTTTTCAAGATTAGATTGGAAGTTGAAGCCTTTCACTCGACCAGGATTCTGTGAACCATGATGAAATGTCTCAATAATGCAAGAGGTCTCAACTTGTTCACAAGTGACTGTAGCATCAAAAATTAACGATGCCACTAAAAATAACACAAACATACTGAGATACTTGTTACTACTTTTTTATGATTGTTATTATTAATATTTTTGTTATCACAGTTGCATACGTTGTACAACACCACAATCGATTTTCATATGAACGAATGAAGTGTTATATCGAAATTGAAGTGAAATTCATCTGAGAGCATTTCACTTTCAGTGGAGGATTGCACGTCTCAGTGACAGGGAGTGAAAACACACAAACAAAAGGCATTTAATCCTACATGGTGGTGGTTTTTGTATTTCATGTTGTGTTGACATTGCAAAGCACTATATTGAGTAAGACATTCTACGAGAATTCAGTCTTAATTCAGCTTGCACTTTACATGTGTTCGTAAAACTTTCAAAAGATTTGTGAAGCGAATGCAGTTAACACATACTTTTGTTATAGTTAGAATGCAAGGTAAAATTACCAACCCCGTATACCTAACGCTGATTAACTAAAATAACTACTTGATTGGTAAAATTTTCATGTAAGTAAGTGTATATTAGTGTAGAGTCGATGATGAGGAAATAATTGAAAAGGAACATATTTCTTTGCTCAGTCTGTTTTTTCTAAATGTATGAATGGATATTTGGAAATCACTGAAATCATCTGAGAACCCTTTCGCTTTGGAGATCCTCAGTGAGCATGTGAAGTATAGCACAAGGCTCAGTGAGGCAACGATATCTGTAGGTTTTATCCATGAACGTATTGAAACTGTCCGTTAACTCAAAACTTACTAGAAATCGTTACGTCGTTTCAGAGTGCAACCAAATGCAAGAACACTTAGGCATCATGCTGTCAATCAGATTGACTCTTTGAAATCGTGTGTCATTGAGAAGAGAAGAATATTGCAAAGAGATTCTATGCTGAGGAAGAACTTCTGGACCATTTGAAGTGGCCATTCTAACAGTATGTGAATGACGTTATTAACAGGAGGAGAGAAACGAACCCAGCTTACTAGTTATAACAGAATCAAATGTTCTAATAATTTAATGTCTTCGTTTCTGCATTAGGCTGGCAAATATTGATGTATGTGGAGACGAAACTCCTTTATGGGACGTTAATTATGACTTAACCACGGGAACAGGGATACTAGTGCATGCATTAGGATGATCGAGCTTTAAGAAATTGGTCCTTGGGAAAAGTTGAACTGTTACTAAACGGCAGATAGAAACAGCCCAACTTGAATGGCGCTTCATCGCGCTCTTCGACGCTGATAAAGAATCTCCTTGCTCATTTCTCTCAAAAACTGGAGATGCAAAAATGAAGACATTCGCATCGTATTTTGAAACACTACAAGTTGTATATATTGAGTGGACTTATCTGAATATCCTCTTTTCACCCAAACTATGCAGGATGATGAGGAGTTACTTCTACACACATTCACTGGGGAATATTGACTTGACTAAAATGCTTCACATCTGATCAATTCATGCTTGTATTTAATCGTTACGTGGCTTAGAAAATCTGTTTACTGAGCTTTGGTCTCCAACATTATACAGATGCCACTTCAGATGGATCCATGATTTCTCTTCTTATCAGTGAAATATGGTGAGCGTTCTAAGTTTCATTTTATTAAACTCCAAAGGTCAAATGGACGGCTGGATGAATACTATCCACATGAACTGATTCTAATCATTACGTGGATATTTAATCGAGACTACAAAAGCATTACTCACCCGACAATACTATAATTTCACTTTCACTATTTTAGTTTTGCTAGAAATGTATCTGCGAATGTACCACCCAGCGGAAATTTCAACGGTACTCCACCGACATCTCTGCATAGTTCATTATTAAACAAGAGATGAATATTCATAGAGTTTTTGAACGGTAGATTCTGTAGATTAGCAGCTAGAATAACGGTGTGTACTCTACTCTCTACCATTTTATCGAATATGTAATACATGATTTCTACAGTAGGGGTGTTGGTAAAAGGGAATATGACATCAAGGAATGCCATGTATTTTTCACTGGTATTCAGGTTACTTAATTTGAAAACAAACTGACAGGCATCCTTGGATAAGTGTGTTTTCTTCCCCACACGTCTTTATACAATGTTTCTGATTACAGAAATCGCAGAGGTGATCACAAAAGTTGTCTCACCTGAAGAGCAAGCGATGTCACTTGAATACATTCTGAATGACAGAGTATTGGAATCTCCATTAATCGAACCTAAATAATGTTGATTCATGGACGAACTGTTACAATAAGTTAGAAGAACAAATGAGAAAAATGGAATTTGTGCGTCCCGATGGAAGGATTCGCTAATATGCTGGTTGTAAAGATGCATTCATATAGTTTACAGTGAAAGTGATGTGATCGGGAACCAGTTTGATCTCGAGGGAACAAAAAAGAAATATGAGAGAAAAACACAAAAGAAGTGGTGAGGTAAACGAGATTGAAAAGAAGACTCTGAAATTCATTGGAAGGATTCAGATGTTATTTACACAAGTTGTTGTTCAGCTCAGTGTATGTCAATTTGTTAATTTGTTCACTGTTATAATTTCTATACAAAATACAACTCATTTGGAGTGAAATCTGTCACAATTTACCTTCTACACTCTCCACTTTTGTGTAGACAGGATGTTTGAAGGAGAATTGATTTGATAAGACTTCATAGATTATGAGGCTTTTATTACATTCGTGATTATTCATTCAACAGGACAGATATTCCGTAGTAAAGAAGACTTCATGCTTGCTACCTGTATTGCTTCGCTCTGACTCAACCAGCGTTTTCATACATACATGCATGCATGCATACATACATATATATTTACACAATTTAATGGTAAAGCTGTTGTCGTCTACACATTTGTTCAAATCTCGGATGAGGCATGTTTCTCATCATGGCTGCAAATATGCCCCCCCCCCGTTCTAAGGAATGCCAGAATTTAAGGCAGTTAGTTCGCTTTATGAATTTAGAAGAAGCAATAAGAAGACGCAGTTTGTCTGAACAATTCCATGAATTGCGAAAATAGCGAGAGAAAGAAAACGAAACTAGTACTGTCCTACGACTCGACAGTTGATAGTTTATTTTACAATTCAAATTGCTAACTACTTTAATGACTATGAGTAGTTAGAGTATCAAACAAAATTTTCACTTGAGACATAAATGGTAAAGTCTATTGGTAAATAATCAATTTTAAAGATTGTTGATATGATAGGGAAAGAGAAAGGACTATTTGTGAAGAGGAGAGTATGTAGATGAGAAGGCGGTATTTCATCTGTAAAAGGTGAGAAGAATGTCTGGATGAGTGTATCTCTTTCCATTCTTTAGAGAAGGTAAATCTCTTATAGTGTAAAATGTGACTATCTCCTGATATATTTTGTCTAAATAATCGAGTGGATACATCTGCTTGAAATAGTGTCGTTCTGTTAGTGTTCATGGATGATGAAACTTCATGCTCATAATTTGAAGAGGTGTAGTTCAACTATTGGTTTGTAGGGATTCGATTGGCTGACTGGTTACAGGATTTCATCATGAGCTGACATCGGTTAGAGAACCATTGGAAAACCTTCAGGGAGTAC